GATTCATGACGCCTTGCACCAAAAGATATTCGATCCACATGAGATCGTGTACGACGTCAGACGTTAGACGAAGCATTCCATACTGGGGTGCCGATCGCCACACGTAGTGGAGTCGCTGCACAAATGCTCTTGTCGCTCGGCAGCAGAGACCGATGTGACGAACCGGCCCGAGCAATTTGTCGAGCTTTTGTCGAGCTGATGCCGCATGGCTCGAGCAGCTGTAGCGACTTGACGTAGCCGCCGAAGCGTCTTGGAGATTTTCCCCTGGGCATTGACACGCTGCGTGCCTCCGTATCCCACTGCAGTCCGAGCGCTGTCAAGTTGGTGGACCAGGGTGAAAACGTTTTCTCGTTTATCGCTCCAGACCAAGCGTAGCCAGCATGCTGAGGCTAAGAGCAGCTTTCGCCAGCCGAAGTCGGTTTTCCCTGTCGATTTCTACAAGCAAGTGGTCATGGACCCAAACGTACGAGAAGAATGGATCACTGTGGGTTTCCATGGGGTCAAGCGTACTTGGGCTTTCGCGAGCTACTAGAAACGCAATGGCTGATCCAAAGCTGCCGTAATAGGCGGGAGATTCTGTCCAGCCGAACAGCAAGGCCAAATCGACGACAGCTTGGCCACCAGGAGTCGATCCCGATAAATGCGCCGACAGACTGGCAGCCACAGCAATACGGCGAAAGGCACTCTTGACGTCTCCTTTGAGAATCATGATGGTCTCACCCTGGCACGATGCTGCGAGCTCCTCGATCCTGAGAGCGATGCGTTTAATGCTCTCAAACTCGAGATCGGGAATGACTGCTTGGGAAGATCGGGCATTGGTCGAGCTCTCTCCAGGGTACGAAAGGTCATGAATCAGGCGCCGCCTTGGACGGATCCATGTCTTTCTTGAGGGCGCAGCCGAATGGGCTAAAGCGTAGCTGGTGCCACCCCAATGCGACTGCTGCGGACACGACGAGGTAGGTGCCGTCCGCCTGGCCTTCGGCAATACTGCGGATCCCGGCATCTTGGTATTGGTGGGTAGTATTGTGGTTGCGAGGTGGAGCAGAATCCGGTGCACATAACCCTTGAAGTCGTGATTCACTCCATGGGTTTCGACAGACACCACTTGCTCCCGGAGACGATAACCACGGAGGAGAATGCCCAGCCAGGTTGGGTCGAGAGCCTTGTTCAGGCGCGGATCGGCGGCAGTCTCGTGCCGCCAAAGTGCCACGAGTGACGCCAATGGCAGCGATTTGGACGCAACGAGCGCAGATAGAGATTCACACAGGTCGTTGTCGATGTTGGGGTTGGTCCATGTTGTCGATGGAGCTACGATACTGTCGGGGACGTGAATACCTTCGGACCGGAGCGCCATCACGATCTGTTCTCGGAGCTGGTTGTCGCACACCCGGTGTCTAGCAAGAAGCACTGCCCGGATTGCGGGTACAATAGCAGTGGAAACACGGAAAGGAGCTGACGGTCGGACCGGCGGTAGCTCGGCAGAGCTCGAATTGGTAAACGGTGGAATCGATGGGTTAATGAGGGTAATGGAGATGAACGGTAAACGGTAGCACGGTGTGAACGGGAAGGTCGCCCCTGAGCGGTTCATTGAGTGAGTTCACGGCGCAGATCGCCCATGTTGTGCTGGATGTAATTGCGTACCACCGGGTCCAGCGAAGCAGGTATGAAGTGCACGTGGTTTGGAAACGCACAATGTTCGTCCGACCGGGAGCTGCATCCTCTGCGTGAGAGATACTTCATGCAGACCGAGAGTCCGTCCTTCTTAGGAAGCGCTTCAATGACGTCGCTCGGAGTTTTTCTCGCGGCTCGGGCCGGCTCGTGGCGGCGGTTGCCGTTGGCAAGGTGTAAGGTATCATTTGCTGGGCGCGGTCGTTGAGATAGTGTCAGCGAGAGGACACGCTCGGACAGAATTAGGCATAGATCCTGGTGAAAACCCACTGCTACTTTCAGTCTGCAGATTGCGTGCTCGAAGCCATACATATATTGGTATTAGAGCGTGTTTCTAGGGCTAAGAGGACGTAGCTTAGTAGACACCGTCCTCTCATCAAGGACAGGCCTATCAGCTGGGTAGTGGTGACTGAACTGAGCCGAATGGAAAAGAGCATTGTACTTATTCGCACTCCACTAAACCTATGTTGTAAAAACCTCACTGAAAGCACGTCATACAAGCTGACGCGTGGGACATACTTATGACAAATGGCTACGAATGCTGAGTTCCGCAGTACAATCCGTCGGATCCCTAGACCCCTTTTTAACTCCGACTCATTCTCCAACTGCCGTAGAGAAAGATCGATGGCCTTGAGAAACCACTTGATCCAGCTCGTTTCACACGATGCCCCGATAGTATTTTCTTGCGTTTTAGCAATGGCGGCTACCTTCACTCTTACGCAGGTATACTGTTCCGCGAGCGAACGTGCGGCTACCTTTTTTTTGGTATCTCATTGCTTATCCCTTAGAGCTCGCTGGATGTATTTAAACGGTGTCGGCGTCTTAGGTTAGCGTGGGCGTTGGATAGCCAACTCTGATGTCGTCATTGAATCCCTAGCGAGCGAGCCGCTACGAACGGAACTCTACCCGTTGTCTATATCTCCGATACTCATGTCAAACATCGGAACCTCAGGAATCTCCCAGGCGGTGATGTTCTGCTGCACTGCAGAGACTTCACAAACCGTGGAACACACGACGAAATCCGAGATTTCAAGAACTGGCTTGGTGGGCTACATCATACTCACAAGGTGGGAATAGACGGTAACCATGACATTTGCATAGATGAAGACGCTTACGATCACTATTAGAACAAACAGATTCGTCACAGGACTTATAATGATCCAAGATTATCGCAATCACTGCTTTCCACTGCCCGTATCTGGAGAACGACCACGTAGTAATTGAAGGAGTCAAAATATACGGCTCACCTATGACACCAATCATTCCTGGTCGTGTTGGAGCCAGGGCTCCGTGATATGGCATTTATAAT